CTAAAATATACTTCCTCTGCCTATAAAAGGGGAATAGAAATAATGTCTGTTGCAAACACACAAACAAAAAGTCCACAAATCCTTTGACCTTCCTCCAGCCAAGGAAGGTCAAGTAGGGTCTCTATTCCCTCCCCTTAAACCTAAGTCCACCTTAGTGACTTGCTTGTGGCTAGTAGCGTGAAGCTCAACTTCCAAGGCCACTCAGAAAAGACCGCGTGGGTGTCTGCCTGGTTCCCTTGGGAACACTTGGTTTTGGAGCCTTGAGTTGTTGTGATGGGTTGAATTGTGTCTACCCCCCAGATTCATATGTTGGAGTGCTAGCCCTCATTACCTCAGGATGTGACCTTCTTTGGAAATTGCAGCTTTCCAGAGGTAATCAGGTTAAAATGAAGTCAGTAAAATGGGCCCTAATCCAATTTGAATAGCGTCCTTGTAAAGGGGAAAAATGCAGACACGGAGACGTTCATAAAGAGAAGATGATGTGAAGATAGGGGGAGAAGAAGACCATTTTCAAGCCAAGGAGAGCCCTGGAGCAGATCCTTCCCTCAGGGCCCGTAGAAGGGGTCCCTCGATGTTGGACTTCCAGCCTCCAGAGCTGTGAGACAATACATTTTTGTTGTACTAAGCCACCCAGTCTGTGGGACTTTGTTATGTCCGACCTCGCAAACGAAAACAACTTTTATATGAGAACCCCGACTTTCCTGAGGCTACCATGCTGTGAGGAAACCCAAGCCACATGGAGAGGCCCCGTTTCTGTATTCTGGTGACAGCCCCTCCTGAGGTCCCAGCTGAGAGCCAGAATGTGGGACACATGAGCAAAGATGTCTCCAGATGATCCCTGCTGTCACTCCTAGCTACAGACTTACTAGTGAACCCCTGCCCACCCATGTCCTGATGAGGCCCCTGACGTGACCCAGTAAATGGATCATTCCCTATCCCTGAATTCTCAACCCAGAGAACCTTCGAGCATCAAAAAATAGGACTCTTCCGCCAACAAGGTTTGAGGTTTTACATAACAAGGAGACTGGAAATGGTCTCACAGCCCATGAGGGCCAGAGCCGGGGTTCTGTGACTCCAAAATGCAGACCTTTGTCCACTCCCCGAAGCCGGCTCAGCAGCTTTGCTGTCTCAGAGGGTGTCTGGGTAGGAAGGTCTTTGCTGAGTCTTGTCTCCGAGGAAGCAGGCCGGCCCATGTAGGCTAGACTCTGATTAACCCATGAGGTCTGTCTGGCCCCTGAGGAAGCCCGCTGGGTTCGGCCTTCCTCAAGCGTGGGGGCAGCCCAGACTCCCAAAGGTAGCCATGAAGTCGGGGTTTTCCGAGGTCTGATCACTGAGTTGAGGGCTTGAACTGTGGGTGCCGCTCGTGCCTGTTCCCACGGTCATGGTGCTCATGGCTTTGTACACGGAGAGCTGCCAGGAGGTCGACTGTCATCTGGACCTTGGATTGCTGGGGTTTAATTCTGGCCAAGCAACGTTTTAGCCTCATGGTCCTGGGTAAGTTCTGTAAGCTCCCTAAGGCTGTTTCTTCATCTGCAAAATGGGAAAATACTAGCGCTCCCCTTGTCGGGGTTCTCAAGAGGTCCAGTCAGTACATTCTCAAAGGGAGTATCCAGCTGGGGCCGAGCCCTGAGTCAGCCGAGCACCAAGTCAGTCCGCAGCATAGGGGAGCTGTGACCGCTGTTCACCAACACGAGCTGTTTGCTTGTAGGAATCCGAGTGGGCTTCCTGGAAGCTTCCCTGCAAAGAGGAGAAGGGAGCTTAAAATACACCCCCCCTCCCCAATTCTGAACTCTTTCAAAAATTATCGAAAAGAAAAAAAGATGCCCGACACACCTAAGGCAGCATCATTATTACTGGCTTTATTATTCTGAAAAGCCCTGAAAAACTACAAAGGGTAGCATTGGGGCACAGGGCTTCACTTCCTTCCCCATTTGCGGCCACTGCTGTCTGCCTGTGGCCCCCACCAGGGCCTGGCAGGAGTGGTGGGAGGGCCACGTGGCCTCTCCCTTCCTGGCTGGCGCAAGAAACATTCATCGCCTGCCATCCTGATGAGTCCTTGGAGAAAGAAGGCGGACGGGGTGACTCAAAGTGTACCATGTCCTCCCCCCTCCCACGCCCCCCCCCAACCCGGGCACACTGCCGCCCTGATCAACCCCCCTCTTCCAAGAGTGAGGGTGAATCACTGCTCCAGGCCCTGGGATGCTCTTGCGCCCTTTCCTCAGCGCCATCCCACAGGGTGTGTGTGTGGGGAGGTTGCTTTTAGGGATCAGAGCGACTTCCTGCCCCACAGCGGCACTTTGTCCGAAACCATCCCTGGGCAGGCTGCTGGCTGACTGCAAAGTCTCCCTCCTGCTCCACGCGGGGCAGGGCTTGTCCAAATATTTGGCTTGATCCTGCTTTCTGATTCATCATGTGCAGGGACCTCTGTAATTTCATCTCCTGCGTGACTCAGACCAGAGCCGAGTGCAAGTGCCTGGCTCTGGAGGCCAGGCCCGGGGCCAGCGCCCGCTGCTCCCCGCTCCCCTCTCCGGGAGAGATGCGGGCACTCTCCAGCCCGGCTCGCCCTCCGATTAAATCGCTGTTGTCTGAGATGATTAATGAAGCCCCAAACACGCCTCAGCACAAGGGTGTGAGGTGCACTTTGTACCTTTTCCAAGTTTCTTTTTTTTTTTTTTTTTTAAGGCTAAATCTATTTGCATCTCAGAAATTAGATTGGCTCCAAAATGACAGGTTCCTGACAGCGGCAGGCGGGGTATGGGTTCTGCTAAGACATCTCCTCCTCCCGCCCCGGGGTCCTCTCTCTCATTCCGAGACCCTAGAGAGAAACTCTGTTCATCTTCCAGAGGAGGAAAGGAGGCAGCAGAATGACCTAGATTCCAAGTTCGCAAGACAGGTACAGCTGTGTCTCGCCTGTCTTCGAAAGGCTGCCAACGCCCGGGCTTCCTGGGTTTTGGAAGGAGCCAGTGGGAGGAGGCTCTCTCACGTTCCTGCTCAAGCCCTCACTGCTTGGGGATGACGTGGTCATTTTCTTCTTCGGCAGGTTTGTCTGCTTAGGAAAGGCCACCAGTTGGGCCGGTGGCACCTCGCAGCCCACAGGGGTACCCCTGGGTGATGCTACCTGAGTAGGGGTGCGGGAGAGCGGGTATCGTCGATAGCAGAGCTAAGGCATTCCCTCTGGAGGTGTGAAGGACAAGGGAAGGGGCATCTGGAGAGCAGAGAGGCGGGGGGATGACAGCTCAGACCCTGGGGTCTCCAGGACTCAGAGACAATGAAGTTTAAGCCCGCCTTCCACCACTGTCCCGCTCTGTGGCGTTGGACAAATGACTCACCCTCTCTGAGCCTGTGTCTTCATCCATTCATTCATTTAATGCCTGTTTTCTGAGCACTCCCTCTCTGTCGGGCCCAGCCTGCCCCCTGGGCCCTAAATATTCTAGACATTGCATAAACACAAGCACGTGCTTATGTCGCCCTTCAGGGGGTGGTAAGGACGAAGCAGAACAGAGACAGCCCTGGGTGCCCTGGGTGCCCTGGGTGCCCTGGGCAGGCTCTGCTGTGTTGGGCTAGGTACAGCTGAAAGAGGAGGGCGTCCAGCTGGGGAGCCCGAGAAGGTGCTGGCTGTGGCGCAGGAGGGACTCGGAGAGCGTGAGCATGAGGCAAGAGAAGGCCTGTGTGACACACCGTGGGAGCTCAGTAAACGTCCTTGGTCCTGGGGCACTATGGTTATTCTTTCTCCCTCTGGCCGTGAGCATGGCGATATGCTTGGGCCGAAGATGTTGCAGGGAAGGAAAAAAGGGCTGGGAGGAAGGCAGCTTAAAGGCTGGGGTAAAGGGGACACGGCCACACTGCGGCGAGGGCGCCCATCGGATCCCGCCATGCCACCTCCATGCCCAGCCTCCCAGGCCCAGGCAGGCTCCGCTTCACACCCAGCCCCAAAGGTCAGCTGGCTAGGGTTTCACAAGCAGGCATTCCAGGTCTGGGGCCCACACAGGGAGCACCCTGCCCGTGGTCAGGCCTCCAAGTTCCCGTCCAGGGCCAGCTGCCGGAACTTTGGCCCATCCCAGTTGGCCTCAGCGGCTGCCAGGCAGGGGTGGGGTGGGGAAGCGAGGAGAGAAGCCGGCCTAGGGCAGCTGACCTCCTGTAAGAACCTGAGTCACGCCCCAGGCAGGGAGCCCTCCAGGCTCTGCAGGGAGGGGATGCAGAGCTCACTGCATGTGTGTGTGTGTGTGTGTGTGTGTGTGTGTACATACATATACGGGACTTATTTCATGTATTTTAAACTTAATTTATTTTCCCAAGATCCTGGGTAGCTGCTATTGTTTATCCCCATCTGATAAGTAAAGAAAAAGGGGACCCAAGGAGGTCGGAAGACACTGAAGCCAGGAAGCAGGCAGCAGAACTAAAGTTCGAACCCTGTGTTCCGTGCACCTGCCTTCAGGCAACCGCCATGGAACCAGAGGACGCAGCTGTGGCGTTGGGTGGGCCTCTCCGGGATCTTGGATCTCGTTAGGCTCTACCGACTGACACAAGAGAGAGTCGTGTGTCTGTTTTGAAGGTTCCGGGAGAGTCAACAGAAGGGAGTGCAGTTTCCACAAGGTCCCCCCCCACCGCCCCACCGCCGTGGCCTCTCTGCCCAAGTGGGCGATGCCCGCACAGTGCCCCTGTCCACCAGATGTCCCTGGGCTCCGGGCTCCTGCAGGAACTCTGCACATGGTGGGTGGGCTCATTGCAAAGCCCACACTCAGCGCTTTCCACCGCCTTCCCCTTCCCCTTTCACTTCCGGACCCTATTTGGGTCTCTGCCTGCCTCCCTCGAGGGCAGACAGATTGTTGTGTTCATCTTGGGGTCCGTGGTACCGGGCAAAGTGAACCACCATTGTGGGGAGGGGATGCTCCCTCTCCTTCTTTCACCCTTGATTTCCATTAGGGAGATGCAAATGTACAGCAAACCAGGCCATGAGACTCAGCTGAGAAGTGCGATCCTACCCAGGCTTCCTGGGCTGCAGCCCACAGGGCAGAGGCTGCCGGCCATGCAGAAGACTGCCAAGTGACAAGTGACAGGGGCAGCAAACCCACCTCGGCCTTGGCTGCTGCAGCCTGCCATCCTGCAACAGAGCAATTCCTCCAAGTGGGAATGGGCCCTCGGAGCGAAGCCACAAAGGGGAGGGCACCTTTCTGATGGGGGATGGAGGAGCTTTCCAGAAATAAATGAAAGTCGCCCTTACATCTTGGGGAAGTTTAAAGACACCCAGAGAATGAAATCTTAGATTTCTTCCTTCCTGAAAGGCTGAGGCTGGGTATAATTCTCTGCTTTTGTTCCCCTCCTTTGTTGAGTCAATGTTCCTGGCCATCCTGTACCTGTGGTTTTATTGTCATCCGTTTTGGAAATGGGTAGGGTATAAATCAGTCCGTGAAATTTAAAAATGTAAGCTCTTTGGTCTAGCATCGAAGTAGACAAAGAAGAAACAGGGACTTAATAAATGCCTTTGGAGGCTTGTGATTTGCATGGGGCTTCCGATAAAAGGCGAAGTCTTTGCTTTGAGGTTACACACACGGAACCCGGGGTGGTCCTCGGGCCTCTGGTCGCAGCACTAGCAGCACTGGTACCTTGATCTCCAACCCTGGAAAACGCAGCTACTGGGGACCATCTGTACCGTGACCACACTGGGGAATAAACAAGGAAAGGGGAAGGCTCCTTGCTGCAGCAGCAGTGCATGGCCCCCTCGATCACTCCTTTGCAAAAGTGGTCCAGAGAGGGTGACACAGACCAGCTTGGTCCCTCCCCCGCCCTCCCATCCCCTACTCTATTTTGCCACCACTGGCTTCCCCAGCAAAGTCTGACAATACTGGGAGTCAGAGCTCCTGAGGGGAGCCTATTCTCATGTTGGGCATACGGTGCTACAAATGACTGGGTCTTGGGGAGTCAGCAACAGAAGAAGAAAAGCAATGTGTGTCCCTGTCCCAGTGGAGGGCTTGGGAAAGCTGGCACCAGGGACTATGGGTTCCCTGAGTTGGGGGAAAGATCCAAGGAAGGGTTGTGGAATTTTGAGGCAAAAGATGAAACAGAATGCTTTGTATACTTCAGTTGTGAAGAGAAAAAAATGTTACGGCAAGCCACTCACCTGCTATCCCTGCTTTTTATTTGCAAAGGCAGCTATGATGAAAACCTGTGAGGGAAGTCAAGGTCAACATGCAGTCCTGAGTCATTAGCCATACATAGATTAGTAGGTTAATACAGAACAGTCTCGACAGATGAATTACACCCAGAAGCTGTGTATGAGTCCTTGGAGTTGACATTGAAAGGTTCAGTTATCATAGGGAGAGTGATGCCTGCTTAATTTTGATAGGGCTTAATTATTGTGATAAATGTCCTTGGAGTTTAACTGTTTCTCTTCACCTAATGTCAGAATGAAGAGTTCAGCCCCAGCTGGGCTGGTCCCCTCTCTCCCTAGGCCCTCTGACATCCTTGGGGAGGATCCTGGAGGAGTAGAAGTCTAGCATTTCAAAAGGATACATCCTCCTCAGCTGGGACTGTCAGGACACTTTCTGTCAAAAGTGACAGAAGTCAACTTCAAACAAGTCCATGAAATTTATTAGCAGGAAATTGGGTGCTTCCTTGGAATCAAAGGTGAAATCAAACAATTGGGCCTCTGGAGAGGTAGGAACCAAGCCTGGAGGATGCCAAGAACGCAGGAAACGATTTCCTGTCTGTCTCTGTCACAGGCTGCCTCTGTTCTTCTGTGTCACATGCGGTTGGATGGAAGATGGTCTTTGCAGAGCCTCTGAGTTTCCTCTCTCCAGCCTCTGTCACCAAGCACCAATCAGTACAGCCTGATTTAAGTGTCCATGCCTGATCCAGCCCTCTGGGGGCTGGGGGCAGGGTTGTATGTCTAGATACGGCTTCGTGGGAGGGTGGCTGGAAAGGCTCAGCACTCAGAGAACAGACATTGTGAGCAGGTCAGACACTCTGAAAAAGGATATGTCCTGTTCCTGAGATCAAAATGGCACCGCCAGAATTTCTTGATGCCAGGAACAGCTTGACAGAACCCTGGCAGTCAGGAGGCCTGGCTCTCTCACACTTTCTCCCTTTCTTTTTATTACAACTCGCTTTAGGAAGGCATCTGGGAGTGGCTTTCTTCAGCCCGACCATTTTCTTGTACACTGCAAAAGCTCGGTTGTCCCAGATGGGCTTTAGACATCCGTGCCTGGGCTGGGCAGCAGGAATTGGAACCCCGAGATGGCCTTTTCTCCTCTCGAATCCTCCTTTGCATGGGGGATCTGTGTGGGGGGTAGAAAGTACATCCTTCGATATCAGACGCGCTGGATTCTTACCCACACTCAGCCACTTACTAATTCTGACCTTTCTAAACCTTGGGCTTCTTATCTGTAAAACCAGAGAGTGACCTGTCTCCCTCAGGGTAGTTGTGAGAACTTGAGATCATCTATGGGAGACCTTTAGTTCACTTAGCTCAATTCTAGGCACAAGGAATGTATTCGATACACCTCAGCCCCCTTAAATCCCCTCCCCAGCACCGGAGCTCTTCCAAAGGCAACATTGTTGCTCTTCCTGTCCCTTCCTCACCAGAGCAACTTTCAGTCCAAGTCCTAGTGGCAACTAGTGCCATCCACAAGTTGACTGAGACATTACCACTCAGGTGTGTTCAGGTACCTGGGATAATTGGCTGTCATAAATATTTAAATAGGTTCATTCATTTGTATTGAAGAGTGGAATGGATACAACATTCCCTTGAAACCACCATCAGAGACAGAGTCTGAGAGACTGGGCCACGGCAACTCTTGAACTTTTTTTTTTTTTTTTTTTAAGATTTTACTTATTTATTTGACGGAGAGAGACCACAAAGAGGCAGAGAGACAGGCAGAGAGAGAAGGAGAAGCGGACTCCCCGCTGAGCAGAGAGCCTGATGCGGGGCTCGATCCCAGGACCCCTAGATCATGACCTGAGCTGAAGGCAGAGGCTTTAACCCACTGAGCCACCCAGGCGCCCCAACTCTTTAACTTTTGATTTATGTGTGTCAAGCGAATGAGTCAGCGTTAATAGAGGATTCAAAAACCTAGCAGAAATCAGACCACATAGAAAGAATGAAGAAAGAAGCCCACAAGACCCAGGAGAATTTCTAAAGAATCTTCTCAGAGTGGTTTGAACTGAAAACCAAGGGATTCCATCCTGTCTCCAACACGGCTACAGCCCACCCATCATCAAGGCCCTTGGGAGGGGGCCATTCACATCTGCTCCCCGCCTCAAGAGTCAAATCCTTAGGACATGACTTAAAGATGGTGGAGCCTGGGTTGTAGAAGGGCCCTTGGCTGAGAACCTCTCCAGGATGTCACAAAGGAAATCATGGCTCTGTGAGCAGAGACGGGGGACATGGCTGCTGGGTAACCAAAAATCAACACAGGTTCCCCATACCCAGTCCTGTTTATACAGCCTGCAAAGTATTTTCCAGATATATTTCAAATGTATTTCTCAAAACCACTCCTGTTTTTCTGATTCCCTGGCCTCTTCCACATCACAAGGGCTCCTTAGCAGCTACAGCACAGGCCCTCCCGGCGCCTCTACCCCTTCCCCTCCACCCAGCTGCCAGACTCACTTCCAGAAACACACACTGACCTTGTGACCCTCCTGCTCACAAACCTCCCATGGCTCCCAACCCACCTGCAGAATAAGAGAAGGTCAACATGGGACCCCAAGCCTACTGTGGGCGGCATGCTCCCACTTCTGGTTTCAGCCCCAGGTGGACCCTCTCCCTGCATGCCTTGATCCACGCTCATGCTTTCCCACTTGGAAAGGCACTTCTTTTCCTCTCTACATAGCTCACTCTTGCTCATGTCTTTTCAGGGACCCAGTCAAACATGGCCTTTCCTCTGAGGTTCCCTGGGGCCTCCAGCAGCTGTGATTTCAGGATCTCATTCCACCCCGGTGACCTGAATGCAGAGGGCCTCCTGCCTGGATGGTGAGATCCTGGAGAGTGGGGACTGCGGCTGCCCAGCACCGTGCACAGAGCCGGACACAGCGGCTGGGCGGCTCCCGAGGTCCACGCTCCTGGCCCGCCTGCCCTTCTGCTGGGTTCCTGGTGCTGCTTGCCTTGGGAGGCTGGGAAAACCCCAGCTGGCGCCATTTCCTGTTCTCCACATCCGCGCAGATCTTCTTTGTCCCAGGCTCTTCCTCTCCGGAGACCTCCTTATCTGGGGACAGTCCAGTGCACAGCAGCACGCCTGGAGGAACCGTCCTGCCGATTTCCTGCCTCAGCCTCTCTGGATTCGAGTCAGAAGGTCTGAGTTCAGAGCCAAGCCCTGAAGCTCTTTCCAGCTTGGTGACCTTGGCCACTGCTTTCACCTCTGAGAAACGTCAATGTCTTAATCTACAAAATGAAGTCTTGTTTGTTTCGCATAAGTTTGTTGTCAAAAGTGAAAGCGTGTCTCCCAACCCATGCTTTTCCCTGCAAGCAATCTCTGTGAATGCTTTACGATGCATCTGCCCACACCTTTTCTATGCATTTATGAAAAATTTAAATTTTATCATGTTTTGTCCAAAAAAGAATCCCGTATACATATTCTGTGCCTTGCTGTTTTCATCCAACGGATCTGATGCTCCTTCATTTGATGCTTACCTCGCAGCAGGGAAATGACCCAGAGTCTGTTTAGCTAGGCTCTTCACAGTAGACATTTTAACTATTTCCCTTAAAAATTTTTTTATTATTGATGTTTTTGTTTTGTGATAATTTTAGATTCATGTGCAGTTGTAGAAATACCACAGAGAAATCCCACGTACACCTCACACAGTTTCTCCCCAATGGCGTCTTTCAAAACTCAGCACAATGTCATCACCAGGATATTGTCACTGGTAGCAACGATCAAGATGCTGAAGATTTCCATCACCACAAGGGACCTTCCTGTTGTCCTCTTTTAGCCCTACCTACTTCCCTCCCATCCTCACCCCAACTCTCCGCGTCCCTCGTCCTTTATCTCTGGCAATCATGCACCGAGCTCCTATTTCTACAATTTTACTGTATAAATGGGAGCACGTTTGAGATTGGTTTTTTTCCACTTAGCATCTTTCCCTGAACACTCACGCTGCTTGTTGGAAGCATCAGTATTTCGTTCTTTTTTACGGCTGAGTACTGCTCCCCAGGACGGATCTGCCAGTTTGTTTAATCGTTCATGGTCCAAGGGCAGCCACTTGCTTACAGTCTGGAGATATTACCAATGACGCTGTTACAAACATTTGTGTCCGGGTTTTTGTGGAAATAGCGATTTAATTTCTCTAGGATAAATGCCCCCAAACTGCAAATAGGGAGTCGTGTGGTAACTGCATGTTTTGTTCTGTAAGAAACTACCAAACTGAATTCCAGAGCGGTGATCCAATTTCCCTACTAACGTTTCATTTATTAACATTCAGTGTTGGGGCGCCTGGGTGGCTCAGTGGATTAAAGCCTCTGCCTTCGGCTCGGGTCGTGATCTCAGGGTCCTGGGATCAAGCCCCACGTCAGGCTTTCTGCTCAGCAGGGAGCCTGCTTCCTTCTCTCTCTCTCTCTCTGCCTGCCTCTCTGCCTACTTATGATCTGTCTGTCAAATAAATAAATAAAATCTTTAAAAAATAAATAAAAAAAAAACATTCAGTGTTGTTCCTGTTGTTTATTTCAGTCATTCTAACAGGTAAGTAGTGATACCTCAGTGTGGTTTTCTTCACATTTCCCTGATGCCTAATGATGTCAAGCATCTTTGGTGCAAGGTCTCCTCATATCATTTTCTAATTGGCTTTTGTTTTCCTTTGTTCTACCGTTAAGTTTTGAGAATTCTTTGTATGTTCTTCTAGATGCCAATTCTTGGTCAGATATGTAGTTTCCAGATATTTTCGCCCAGTCTCTAGCTGGTCTTTTCTCTTAACAGCATACAGTATAGAGCAGAATTTTAAATTTTGACAAAATCCCATTTACCAGTTTTTTCCCTTTATAGATTGTGCTTTTGGTGTCAAGCTTAGGAACTTGTGGCTTCACCCTAAACCCCAAAGATTTCCTCGTATTTTTTTCCTAAAAGATTTAGGGTTTTACATTTTACATGAAGTCCATGATCAGTTTTGAATTAGGTGTGAAGTTTGGGTCCAAGTTCACTTTTTGCCTATACATGTTCAACTGCCCCAGTGCCGTTTGTTGAAAAGGCTACCCTTCCTCCATTGATCCGCTTTCACATCTTTGTTAAAAATCAGTTGGACATTTTTGTGTGAGTCTATTTCTGGGTTCTCTGTTGTGTTCTGTTCATCTATTTGTCTATTTCTCTGCCAGTATTGCACAGTCTTGGTTACTCTTCTTTTTCATAATTTACTCTTTTCTTTTCACAATTGTCTTAGCTATTCTTAGAAGTTCATTTGCTTTTCGTATACATTTTAGAATAATTTTGTCAGTACCTACAAAAAAAAATCTTTGTAAGGGTTTTTTGATAAGAATGTATTGAATCTGTGTTTAAAATGGGGGAGAGCTGATGTCTTTACTATGTTGAATTTTTCAACCCATAAATCTGGTCTGTTTCTCCATTTTTATTTTATTTTATTTTTTTTAGATCTTTGGTTTCTTCATCAGAGTTTTATAATTTTCAGTATGTAAGTCTTTATGCTTTGTTAAATCTGCATATAAGGATTTCATTTTTCTGAGCAATTGTAAATTGTGCTGTATTTTTAGTTGCTAATGCTGCCGGTATATAGAAATACATTTGATTTT